AGCCCAGGAGGCACAGAGAATCCTTCTCAGAATTAATAAAAATAGGTCAACACCTCCACATATAATAGTGAAGCTTGCAAATTTCAAAGATAAAATCTTGAAAGCAGCTTGGGACAAGAGGTCCTTAACCTACAAGGGTAAATAGATAAGCCTGAAAACAGACCTGTTCACAGAGACCTGACAGGCAAGAAAGGACTATTATGATGCATTCAAAGTGCTAAATGGGAAAAATATGTAGCCAAGAATATTTTATCCAGCAAGGCTGTCATTTAGAATAGAAGGAGAGATAAAGAGTTTCCAGGACAAACAAAAACTCAAGGAATTTCTGAACACTAAACCAACCCTGAACAAATATTAAAGGGGATCCTTTGGGTGGAGACAGAAACCAAAAGTAACAAAGACCAGAAAGCAACAAAGACAATCCACAGAAACAGCAACTTTACAGGTAATACAATGGCACAAAATTCATATCTTCCAATAATTAATCTGAATGTAAATAGACTAAATGATTCAATCAAAAGACATAGGGTATCAGATTGGATTAAAAAACAAGACCCATAAATATGCTGTCTACAAGAGACTCATTTTAGACCCAAGGACACCTCCAGATTAAAAGTGAGGGGGTGAAGAACCATTTATCATGCTAATGGACATCAAAAGAAAGCTGGAATAGCAATTCTTTGTCAGATAACCTAGATTTTAAACCAAAGACTGTAATAAGAGATGAAGAAAGACACTATATCATAATAAAAAGGTCTATCCAAGAAGATCTAAGATCTAACCATTGTAAATATTTATGCTCCAAACTTGGTAGCAGCCAAATATATAAACTAATTAATAAGAAACTTAAAGAAATTCACTGATAATAATGCGATAATAGTAGGGGACTTTAACACCCCACTCAGAAATGGACAGATCATTTAAGCAGAAGATCAACAAGGAAATAAGGGCTTTGAATTGCACACTGGACCAGATGGACTTCACAGATATATTCAGAATATCCCTTCCTAAAGCATCAGAATAAGCATTCTTCTTGAGTGCACATGGAACATTCTCTGGAATAGTTCACATACTGGGTCACAAATCAGGTCTCAAGTAGTACCAAAAGATTGGGATCATTCCCTGCATATTTTTAGACCACAGTGCTTTGAAACTTCTACTCAACCACAAGAGGAAATTTGGAAAGAGCTCAAATATATGGAGACTTAAAAGCATCTTACTAAAGAATGAATGGGTCAAACAGTAAATTAAAGAAGAAATTTAAAAAAATACCTGGAAACAAATAAACATGAAAATACAACTGTTCAAAACCTTTGGGATGCAGAATAAGTGGCCCAAAGAGGGAAGTATATAGCAGTACAGGACTTTCTCAAGAAACAAGAAAAGTCTCAAATACACAACCTAACATTACACCTAAAGTAGTTGGAAATAACAAATAAAACCTAAATCCAGCAGGAGAAAAGAAAAAAAATAAAGATTAGAGCAGAAATCTATGATATAGAGATTTTTAAAAAAAGTAGAACAGATCAATGAACTAGGAGCTGGTTCTTTGAAAGAATTAATAAGATTGGTAAACCCCTACCCCTAAGATTGGAAAAAAAAAAGAGAAAGGACCTCAAAATTTAAATCATGAATGAAAGAGGAAAGATCACAAATAACACCACAGAAACAAAATTATAAGAGACTATTATGAGCAATTATATGCCAACAAATTAGGCAAACTGGAAGAAACATATAAACTACCAAAGTTGAAACAGGAAGAAATGGAAAGCCTGAACAGACCCATATCCAGCAAAGAAATTGAATTGGTAATCAAAGATCCCCCAATAAACAAGTGTCAAGGGCTGGATGGCCTCCCAGAGGAATTCTACTAAACATTTAAAAAAGAATTAATTCCTACTCTTCTAAAACTGCCCCCCCAAAAAATGGAAGGAAAACATCCAAAATCATTCCATGAGGCATCCACCACCTTGATCCCAAAACCAGACAAGGAACCCACTAAAAAGAAGAATTACAGGCCAATATCCCTGATGAACATGGATGCCAAAATTGTCACCAAGATACTAATAGGATCCAACAGTACATTAAAAGGATTATTCACCACAAGAAGTAGGATTATTCCTGGGCTGTAAGCGTGGTTCAACATCTGCAAATCAATCAATGTGATACACCACATTAATAAAAGAAGGGACAAGAACCATATGATCCTATGAATAGATGCAGAAAAAGCATTTGACAAAATACAGCATCCTTACTTGATTACAACTCTCCACAGTGTAGGGGTAGAGGGAACATACCTCAATATCATAAAAGCCATATACAAATAACCCACAGCAAATATCATCCTCAATGGGGAAATACTGAGAGCTTTTCCTTTAAGGTCAGGAACATGACAGGGATGTCCAATCTCACTACTCTTAGTCAACAAAGTACTAGAAGTCCTAAACTCAGCAATCAGATATTAAATGAGAAATAAAAGGCATCCAAATCATCAAGGAAGAAGTTAAACTTGCACTATTTGCAGACAACATGATACTGTATGTAGAAAACCCAAAAGACTCCATCCAAAAATTGCTAGAACTCATACAGGAATTTAGCAAAGTCGCAGGATATAAAAGTCAGTTGCATTTCTATACACTAACAATGAGGGAACAGAAAGAGAAATCAAGGAATTGATCCCATTTACAATTGCACCAAAAACCATAAGATATCTAGGAATAAACCTAACCAGAGAGGTAAAGGATCTGTACTCTGACAACTATAGAACCCTTATGAAAGAAATTGAGGAAGACACAAAGAATTGGAAAAACATTCCATGGTCATGGATTGGAAGAACAAATATTGTTAAAATGTCTATGCTACCAATGCAATCTACATATTCAATGCACTCACTATCAAAATATCTTCAGCATTTTTCACAGAGCTGGAACAAACAACTCTAGAACCAGAAAAGACTGGGAATAGCCAACATAATGTTGAAACAGAAAATCAGAGCTGGAGGCATCACAATTTCGGACTTCAACCTGCATTACAAAACTGTAATCATCAACATAGTATGTTACTGGCACAAAAACAAGCATATAGACAAATGGAACAGAATAGAGAACCCAGAAGTTGACCATCAACTCTATGGTCAACTAATCTTCAACAAAGTATGAAGGAATATCCAATGGAAGAAAGACAGTCTCTTCAACAGATTATGTTGAGAAATTGGACAGCCACATACAGAAGAATGAAACTGGACCACTTTCTTACACCATACACAAAAATAAATTCAAAATGGGTGAAAAGCTTAAATGTGAGACAGGAATCCATCAAAATTCTAGAGGAGAACAAAGGCAGCAACCTCTTTGTCCTTGGCCACAGAAACTTCCTGCTAGACATGTCTCCAAAGCAAGGGATACAAAGGCAAAAATGAACTATTGGGACTTCATCAAGATAAAAAATTTTAACACAGCAAAGGAAACAGTCGACCAAATTAAAAGGCAACCTATGGACTGGGAGAAGACATGTGCAACTGTCTTATCAGATTAAGGGCTAGTATCAAAATCTAAAAAACTTACCAACTCAACACCTAAAAAACAAAACAAAACAAAAATCCAGTCAAGAAATGAGCAGAAGACATGAACAGACATTTCTCCAAAGAAGATATATAAACGGCCAATAAACATATGAAAAAATTCTTAACATCACTCAGCATCAGGGAAATACAAAACAAAACTACAATAACATACCATATTACGGCAGTCAGAATGGGTAAAATTAACAACTCAGAAACCACAGAAGGTGGAGAGGATGTGGGGAAAAGGGAAACCTCTTACACTGTTGGTGGGAATGCAAACTGGTGCAGCCAGGTTCCTCAAAAAGGTAGAATAGAGCTACTCTACAACCCAGCAATTGTACTACTAGGCATTTATCCAAAGAATAAAAACATAGTCATTTCAAGGGGCACTCCAATGTTTATAGCAGCAATGTCCACAGTAGCCAAAATATGGAAAGAGTCCAGATCTTCATTGACAGATGAATGGATAAAGAGGTGGTATGTATGTGTATATATGTGTGTATATATACATATATATATATATGAATATAACTCAGCCATCAAAAAGAATGAAATATTGCCATTTACAACAACATGGATGGAACTAGAAGGTATTATGCTAAGTGAAATAAGTGTAGAATAAGACAAATGCCATATGATTTCACTCATGTGTGGAATTTAAGAAACAAAATAGATAAACATAGGGGAAGGGAAGGAAAAATAATATGAGATGGAAATTGAGAAGGATGCAAAGCATAAGAGAAGCTGAACTCTAGGAAACAAACTGAGGGTTTCTGGAGAGGAACTGGTTGAGGGGGAAGAAGTAATTCGGTGATGGGAATTAAGGAGAGGCAGTTGATATGTGAGTATTGGGTGTTGTATGCAATTGATCAATCACTAAATTCTACCTCTGAAACTAATTAAAAAAGAATAGTATTATTTTAACACATAACTAAAAAAGTATTAATTATTCATTTTTATACTGTCTGAGATCAATGTGCATTTTATATTTTTGGTACATTTCAGTTCAAAATAGTCTTATTTCTTTTTTTAAAAATATAGTTCTGGGGCGCCTGGGTGGCTCAGTTGGTTAAGCGACTGCCTTTGGCTCAGGTCATGATCCTGAAGTCCGGGGATCGAGTCCCACATCGGGCTCCCTGCTCAGCAGGGAGTCTGCTTCTCCCTCCGACCCTCTTCCCTCTCATGCTCTCTATCTCCCATTCTCTCTCTCTCAAATAAATAAATAAAATCTTTAAAAAAATAAAAATATAGTTCTTCCACAATTTTACATTTTTTTCAGGTGTAAAACAGTGATTTAACAAGTGTATACAGAGCCTGCACGCTGCCAGCCGCCTGGGACCGTGCCGCCGGCCTCTACCGCCAGCAGACCCCTTCCAACGGCTCTCGCTGCGCAGGCGGGGACGCCTCTCCCCCCCTCCGCCCCCGCCACGGAAAGTTAAGTTTGAAGAGGGGGGAAGAGGGAAACATGGACATGAGGAGGAGGATCCACCTGGAGCTGAGGAACCGGACCCGGCAGCTGTTGGAGAACTTGTCCTGGATAATTGCAAATCAAATGATGGGAAAATTGAGGGCTTAACAGCTGAATTTGTGAACTTAGAGTTCCTCAGTTTAATAAATGTAGGCTTGATTTCAGTTTCAAATCTCCCCAAACTACCTAAATTGAAAAAGCTTGAGCTCAGTGACAATAGAATCTTTGGAGGTCTGGACATGTTAGCAGAAAAACTTCCAAATTTTACACATCTAAACTTAAGTGGAAATAAACTGAAAGATATCAGCACCTTGGAACCTTTGAAAAAGTTGGAATATCTGAAAAGCCTGGATCTGTTTAACTGTGAGGTTACTAACCTGAATGACTACCGAGAGAGTGTCTTCAAGCTCCTGCCCCAGCTGACCTACCTGGATGGCTACGATCGGGAGGATCGGGAAGCCCCTGACTCAGATGCTGAGATGGATGGTGTGGATGAAGAAGAGGAGGATGAAGAAGGAGAAGATGAGGAGGACGAGGAGGATGAGGATGGTGAGGAGGAAGAGTTTGACGACGAAGAGGACGAAGACGAAGACGAAGATGTGGAAGGGGAAGAGGATGAAGATGACGACGTCAGTGGGGAGGAAGAAGAATTTGGACATGATGGAGAAGTTGATGAAGATGAAGACGATGAGGATGAAGATGAAGATGAAGAAGAGGAAGAAAGTGGGAAAGGTGAAAAGAGGAAGAGAGAAACAGACGATGAAGGAGAAATGATTAAGACCCCAAATAACTTGGAAAGAAAACTGTTCAGTATTGGTTGGACTGCTCATATGGATTTGGTAGCTGTTGAAAAAAAAAAAAAGGTAGCTGTGATACAAACCCCAGGACACCCACCCACCCAAAGAGCCAAAGAATAGTTCCTGTGACATTCCACCTTCCTCCATTTAGCCCCTCTTGGAAATTCGCCACCAAGCTTGGGGACTTCACCCCAACAAAATTGTAAGCATTGTTAGGTTTTCATGTCAGACTTGCTGTAGCGTGGAGAGCTGTGACTGGGGAGCCGGCCGTCTGTAGCTACCAGTTACACCGAGACTGTAACAGCATTTTTACTTTCTGTACAACAAAGAGGCTTTGTAAATAAAATCTTAACATTAAAAAAAACAAGTGTATACATTATGCTGTGCTCACCACAAGTGTAGTTACCATCTGTCACCAAAGAATGCCATTACAATACCATTGACTGTATTCTCTATATTCTGTCTTTCATTCTCATGACTTTCATATCTGGAAACCTGTACATCCCACATTCCTTTATTCATTTTTTGTATCTCCCTACCCCTCTCTCTTCTGGCAACCATCAATTTACTCTCTGTATTTATGCATCTGTTTCTGCTTTTTTTGGTTTATTTGTTTTGTGTTTTAGATTCAACATATAAGTAAAATCATATGGTATTTGTCTTTTTCTGTCTGATTTTTTTTCACTTGACAGAATACCATCTAGGTCCATCCATGTTGCTGCAAATGGCAAGATCTCATTATTTTTGATGGCTGAGTAATATTCCATTGTGTATGTGTTAATAAATAAATAAATAAATAAATAAATATCACATCTTCTTTATCCGTTTATCAATAGACATTTAGGTTGATTATTGTAAATAATATTTCAATAATGATAGGGGTGAAAATATCTTTTCTTCATTTTCTCCCCAACACTTGTGATGTTTTATTTTTTTGATACCAGCCATTATGACAGGTGCCAGGAAGCTGTTTTTAAATACACATACCATAAAGTATAATTGTTTCTAAAATTATTTATAAATTCTTATTACTCATACATCTAAATCTTTTGCTCTCTACAATTATGTTTAGATCACCCACAAAGTCTTTATGAGATGTTAGACAATATCAACTATCACTTTAAGTTATTTTTGGTGACAAATTACAACAGATATGACACGAATTTACTAGTAAATTCAAGCAGAATAAAAGTTGTTTTATCTGCATTAGATTCAATGTAGATAACTCTAAAGACACGTCTGTTTAAATTTAATCAACAAACTTAAACTAACTTGTATTTACTGAAGAATATCCCCCATCACATGAACTTGAAAAACATTTGAATTAATTTCTATTGTATTTCTGATAATTTGTATGTACAAAATTTATATAAGCCTTGTTTCAGCTAATTAAGCACAGCTCTTTTACATATTAAACTGGCAATACCATCTGGAACTAGAAAATATCACACATCTGCAATAACACGCACAGACACACACACATATATACACATACGGACAAGTGCAGAGATAATAATTATATTTCTGAAGTTTTCATATTAAAGAGTTGTCTAGATAATAGTTTTGGGGAAGACCACAACAACATTTAAATCTCAAAGGCACACACACACGTACGCACACACACAAACAAAAAAACTCCTAGGGCTTATTGTTCCTTTAAGGCCAGAAATTCTACAATACTTACAAACTTTTTGAGATAAATAGGAGAAATTTTGGGATTGGTAAAAAGGATTGGTGGACTTTGAATTGTTTCTGGAATCACTTTCCTGGTCTTGTAAAGACTAGATTTATGAAATACAGTCAGCTATTTTTAATTTCTCAAAGAATTAGAGTGCCACCTAAATCGTGTCAAAGGAGTGACCCACTTATCCACATATGTTAGAATGACTTTCTTTCCCTCTGAGTACATTTGTTTTAGAAGAGACGTAAAAAATTACTATCAGACTCTAAATTTCAGCTTCCAATTTGGTAAAATTTCTGATCATAAATTTATTAAATTGTTTCATCTAGACAAACAGTAAATATTTCTGGCAGTATTAAAAAAAACTCATGGATTCAAGAGGTGTCCTTGAAGAGGGTGCAAAAGATATTATCTTTATAAAATCTGGAGTCATTAATGAAGATAACCATAGAAAGAACAAACAACCTGAATGTCCCAGGCAAGTAGAAACCCAAGCCCAGTTCTTAGAATTCAAAAGGTAACAAGCAAAAAGGTAATAGCTATTCATCAGAGAGAAAGGATCACTAAACAATGGGTCTGGATCTGGAAAGAAAGAAACAATGTGAAATTTTATTCCCTTCTCTTGACTTGCTTCAGGAGGGTATCTAATTACAAAACCTTTTAAGGATCATCTTTGTTTTGTTTTTTGTTTTGTTTTGTTTTTTTGAATTATGGTTCTTAGTTCACCCTTTAACCAATGAGTGAAAAATGCCTGAAGAGGATCGCTTGTAGCCTTGGGTGATATTATTTTAAAAGGTAACAGTTAATTGGTCAATTATGATGGTGAATGGGTGCCTGGGTGGCTCAGTTGGTTAAGCGACTGCCTTCGGCTCAGGTCATGATCCCGGAGTCCCAGGATCGAGTCCCACATCGGGCTCCCTGCTCAGCAGGGGGTCTGCTTCTCCCTCTGACCCTCTTCCCTCTCGTGCTCTCTATCTCTCATTCTCTCTCTCTCAAATAAATAAATAAAATCTTTAAAAAAAAATTATGATGGTGAAGTAGTAGGAAGATCTTATGCTTACCTCATCCCTTAAACACAGCTAGATAAATATCAAATCATTCTGAACAGTCATGAAATTGATCTGAGGACTGAGAACAAAGTACACAAGAGGGAGAAAAGAGGCCACATCGTGGAAGGTAGGAGGGGAAATGTGATTTGGGAGAGAAAAAGATCATAGACACTGCAGAGGGGAGGGAGTTCTGATCACAGGGATAGGAGAGAAAGAGAGGCAGAGAGAAAGAGTACAGCACACAGGGGATCACACAAGAAAAAAACCTTCCCTAAAACCCTAAGAGGGGCTGATTATCATGCTCAAACACTGGAGTTTTAGAAGTCTGCACCATGGTCTGTATGGAGCCCAGCAGGTACAGCAATGTTCCTGTGGAGAAGAAAAGCAGAGGCCTAGAAGCAGACAGCAGAATCTGAGGATCACCTGGAATGCACTGGGAAAGAGAGTTTCTCCTACTTGGAGTGCATCTAGGAGAGGTGGCATTAACTCTCCGGGGACAAAAGTCCTGTCCTGTTCCTTAGCATATGGACAAAGACACCTGCTGAGGGCACCTAACCTGGATGCCAGCTTTTTGCTATACTTTACTCTAAACTCCAAGCTGCTGCATGTTGGTGCAACTGCTCTTCTTGGAAAAACTGACACCAGCCTCAGTGGCAGAACCCTCTCCCAGAGGGCCAGCACAGGTCCACACCCCACCAGGTATCTAATGATTGGAATTTTAAAACTCAGGAGATAAAACAGAGGTGCACTGTGATGCCAGGTGGGCAGATGGCCTGGACACAGACAGGGTAAAAGCGTGGATTTGAAGGATGCCTGAGACACAGAAAGGGAGATTGTTTGCTCTTCTGGGGAACCTTCTTAGATAGTGACAGGTGCAAACTCCCCTCTCCAGGGATAATTGAGAGGGCTAGGGACATTTTTCTCCCCCTCCCCATCAGCACAGATTGACTTCAGTGAGCAGAACATCATCAGCAGTGGAGGCCTAAACTGCTTATACCAAGCCCCACCACTCACACTCTGCAGGTGCTTCTTTACTAGGGCAAGTGTGGCTAAGAGCCAAAGAAGCTGACACCTTCCCCAGAAGACAAAAAAAAAAAAAAAAAAAAGCCTGCACAAACCAAGTCCACTGACCATAGAGTTCTGCAAACTTCAGCTATAGTGGAAATAGAATCTGGCCTCTTAACAAGCACACCAGAGCACACCGAGTTAAAACTCACTGCACCCTGGAAAATGTCCAACATTACCCACTGCAGGCAAGGAGAGACTGTGCAGTGGACTGAACTGAGGAAAAGAGCAGCCAAAACACAGCAGCAGAATGCACACAGCACACACCAGATGGTTCCTGAAGCACTAGGCCCTAGACAGTATATGGCCTCTTCTTAATAAAGCCATTAATCTCAGGAGCAAGAAGTATAACAGGCTCACCTAACACACACAAGAAAGACAGAGACCTAGACAAAATGCCAAGATGGAGGAATTCATCCCAACAGAAAGAAAAAAAAAAAAACTGGTCACAGCGAAGGATCTAATTAAAACAGATGTAAGTAGTATACTGATCCAGAATTTAAAACATAAATCATAAGGATACTAGCTGGGTTTAAGAAAAGCATAGAAGACACCATGAATTCCCTTACCACAGAGATAAAAGACCTAAAAATTAGGGGAGAAAAAAAGCTATAACTGAGATATGAAACCAATGATGGGACAGAGGAATGAATAAGTGATATAGAAGAAAAAAATTATGGAACCTAATTAAGTTGGAAAGAACAGGGAAAGAAAAATATTGAATCACAAATGTAGACTTCAGGAAATCAGTGACTCCATAAAGCATAACAACATTTGTAGCCTAGGAGTCCTAGAAGAAGAAAAGAGGGAAAAAAGGGTAAAAGCTTATTTGAATAAATCATAACTGAAAAATTCCCTAATCTGGGGAAGGAAACAGACATCCAAATCCAGGAAGCACAGAGAACTCCCAACAAAATCAACAAAAGCTGGCCAACACCAAGACATATCATTGTAAAATCTGCAAAATACAGAGATAAGGAAAAAATCCTAAATGAAGCAAAGGAAAAGAAATTTCCTAACTTTAAAGGCAAAAAGTACTTTTTGATATCGCAAGACAAAAAATATCCACAGAAACTTGACAGGCCAGAAGAAAGTGGCATGATATATTAATCGTGCTAAATGGGAAAAATATGCAGCCAAGAATAATTTATCCAGCAAGGCTATCATTCAGAATAAAAGGAGAGATAAAGAGTTTCCCAGAAAATAAAAATTAAATGAGTTCATGACTACTAAACCAGCCCTGCAAGAAATATTAAAGCAGCAAGTGGGAAAGAAAGACCAAAAACAAAAAAACTAGAAAGGAATAGAGAAAATCTCTAGAAACACCAACTTAACAAGCAACATAATGGCATTAAATTCATATCTATCAACAGTCACTGTGAATGTAAATGGACTAAATGCTCCAATCAAAGGACACAGGGTATTGGAATGGATTAAAAAAAGAAAAAGCCCCATCTAGATGCTGCCAACAAGAGATTCATTTTAGACCTAAAGACACCTGCATATTGAAAGTGAGGGGATGGGGGCGCCTGGGTGGCTCAGTCAGTTAAGCGTCTG